AAAAAGCATAATAGGACCCCTTTAATAAAACTTTTGTGCACAGATTACATGAGTTTCTGATCCTGCTTGTGAATAATGTCCCTTTACGATTTTGATCCTTGCTACATGCTCTAATGCATTAATAGGCTACTGTAAGAAGGTTGTTTTCTATGGCCACGAAAATATCCTTTCTTAGAGTTGATATGAAATTACACTAAATGGTCGCTGGACGAACAGATTAGTTGATGGCAATTTAATTCTGTTAAAGTTACTACTGGCAGCTCATAAAAATAATTGTAATTAATCATAATTAATCATAATAATTGTAATTAATCATAACTATTTATATACATTTCCCTTTTGAGCTAATTCACTACACTGTGAAAGGTGTGATCATCAATTTTTTTTAAACAAGGGGCAATTCTAGACAAAAGGTTACCTGAGATGGCGGCAGCAGTTTTCCCGCTGACCTTCCCTCCACCTATCAGCTTAAATTAAAATGCATAAAGCTAAACTTCCCTTGTATTCACATTTCTAAACCTGTTGTCCAACAAAAGAGAACATTATAACCTTTTTACTCCACAACACCAGTCAAATGCTTCCTTTTGTGATCTGATGTAGCTTCTTGTCACAGAATGAGGCAGAAAATTTGTTCCATAGGCTACTTTAAAAAGAATACATCGATTAGCAATGGATTATAAATATACTTTGGCGTCCAGTATGAATTAAACTGAAAGTATCGGTTCAGGCACCGTTTAGGCACCGGAACCGTTTTAGAAGTACCGATTTGGCACCAGTATCGAAAAAAAACCAAACGATACCCAACCCTACTAACCACAAGACACCTCTCCAGGTTTTGGAATGGAATTAGAACATGAAGCTGAAAATAAGAAGTCTAACTTGACAATATTACACAGACTCAAAGCCTTCAGAACACTAGAGATCAGGAGTGTGAGTCAGGCTGTGTGGGTATCAGAGAAACAGGGTGCTGTTACCTTTGCCAACAGGCATCAAGATGGTCTGCAGCCCTGAGGAACCACTGCCCACGCTGAGTTGCTTCAGCTGATTGGCTGGGATGGTGAGAACTGTCTGCTGGGAACTGGACTGAGCTGGATGCAACTTCAACATACCTGTGAATGAAGAGAATCATGGTGACATGTGAACCAAAAAAATTAAACAAATAAAGCATTTTAAGCAATTAAATCAGAGTAGGGGTGGATGGTTTGCATTATCCAAAATGTGCAATGTAACATGGTTATTTAACATGTAAACCATTTTTTGTTTCATTTTTCTATGCACATATTGTGATCGTTACTGTGAAATATGATGTTATAAGACTTTGACATACCACCCACCCCTAATTCAGAGAGCTGATAAAGATTTATTTCACTCTTGAAGCTAATGGACAGAGACCATTTAGCCAACAGATGGTAAAAAGACATTTGTGATTCAGTTTAAATGCCTGTGAGAGTCTGTGAGAGCTTTAGCTGTTTGTCATTCTAAAGGTGCAGTCACACTGAAGATTTTTCAGCAAAAATTTCACAGGCCATTGTCTACTGTCGATAGTGTAGCGATGTATGAAGCACGATTCACACAGAAGTCGCTTTAAAACCAAGCAGCTTTCTGTTTTCTGAAAATCTGTGAAATTCCAGATTGTGTGTGCCTGTTGTAGCATTTGGACCAATCAGACACACATTTGTTCATTAGATTTAACAAATCAATTATTCATTAGATTAACAAATAATCACAGACCCCTCACCCAATAAACATACTGGGTGCCAGCATGTCTATTAGTTATGTGTGTTAGCGTTTAGTTAATAAAACTTTTGTGCACAAATTACATGAGTTTCTGATCCTGCTTGTGAATAATGTCCCTTTACGATTTTGATCCTTGCTACATGCTCTAATGCATTATTAGGCTACTGTAAGAAGATTGTTTTCTGTGGCCACGAAAATATCCTTTCTTAGAGATGATATGAAATTACACTAAATGGTCGCTGGACGAACAGATTAGTTGATGGCAATTTAATTCTGCTAAAGTTACTACTGGCAGCTCATAAAAATAATTGTAATTAATCATAATTAATCATAATAATTGTAATTAATCATAACTATTTATATACATTTCCCTTTTGAGCTAATTCGCTACACTGTGAAAGGTGTGATCATCAATTTTTTTTAAACAAGGGGCAATTCTAGACAAAAGGTTACCTGAGATGGCGGCAGCAGTTTTCCCGCTGACCGTCCCTCCACCTATCAGTGACGCTGCAGTGACCAGTGATGGGCTGGAGCTTTTGGCCCCGCCCACAACAGACGACCCCGCCCCCTTCGACAGGCTAATGAGAGGCACGTTGACGCTCTTTGCGACTGTGACAACCACACCGGTGCCAGAGGCAGAACTCTTTGCTGAGTTGGCGGCAGAGCTGGCACTCTTGGCTGCACTGATCACCGCAGCTTGATTGGCAGCTACAAGCACAGGGTGCTGCGGTGGCGCTTTAGCCGTCTGAGGGAACGGCTGAGAGGACGATCCTCCAGTGGCTTCTGCTGACTGTAGGGGGGAAATCATTAGACGGGTTATAAATGGACAAAGTGACTTCAATATGTCAACTTTGTGATGGAGGCACAACACAATGAGTTTCCAGCATGAACATTTTTCATTTCAGTTGAAAGCTGAAGTCAAAGCTACAGAATAATCTAATCATGGAATGTGATTTTAGTCCAATAAGACTTTCGTAGGGAAGGAGCTACACTTCTTGATCCGAAATCTCCTACCTGTTGAGAGGTGGGTGTGGCACTGGGTGTGGAGCTTGTGGCAGTGATGACACCTCCCGTCATTCTCAGGGTTGTTGTGCCAGGTTTATTCAGGTGACTTGCTGCGGCAGCTGTTACCATCTTCACTGAGCCATCTGACAGCTTCACCTGAGAACCTTGAGACCCACCCACCACCTGTCAATCAAACATTAAAAGAAAGAAGTTGAAAAACCCAAACCCAGCAATCTGAGAAATATGTTATTCCTACCAAAGGCTCTGTTCTTTACGGTGATAAATGAAACCGTAAGCTTTACAATCACACCAAAAGGTAAATAAGGCACATTCTATTGAACAACTACAATCTACAATGAGCTTCTCCTAGAGTCTCTTTTTAACATTGTGTTTTTGGCAATAATGGACTTTAATATTCATGCCAATACAGCTTCACTGGACTTAAAAAGAGAGTGAGAAAAGACTGCAAGTATCTCCCTTACATAACAGCATATGCAGTGATACAGAAAGAAATCTTTAACTTGTTTCTCACACTCATTCTCGCATGTTTTTCCTTCTAAAGTTGCTTCTCTCTTGCTCTTATGCCCACAGCAAATACCCTCCATCAAACACAAACACTCCACCATGACCTCCAGATTACTGAAGTAGATCAGGCATTGATCAATATGTACAGTCATCTTACTGCATGCAAACAACCTCTAGTAGCTCTAACACACCAGAGGAGGAGGTTTGATTTAGTCTCACCTGTGCTGAGGGGGGATAACGAGAATTATAACAACAAACTAATGAGCAGAAATCATGGTGCCCTATGTGCTCCACTTTATGAAGAGAATTATGAGGGTATGATTTAAATGGATAATTAAGCAACAAGAAGAAAGCTAGAAAGAGAAGGAAGGAAAAAAAGAGAAGCCCATGAGTGTATGTTTACAGGTTGAATTACAGCTCAAATGTCAGCTGCAGGCATACTCATTAGCCTTTATCGTATAATCAGGACACACACACACACACACACAGAATAGGCTCTAGAGTGTGAGCTCTTCAGAAGAGGTGTTGTGTAACACTAATGAAAGTGCAGCAAGTGAAAGAAAGAAAGAGTAGAGATAAAGCAAGATCAATGAGATGGAGAGAGAGCATGAAATCGATGATGAAGAGGGAGGAAATAATGGCAAACCCCATGAACACTTTTGCTTTTTACAGTAGGTAAACTGATACCACTCCTTCTGAGTCACTGAGTTTGAGTGTGTGCGAGATTTAACATTTTATTTCTATATTTTATTGAAGCTAAGTTGTATCTCTGCTGCATTGTTATCTATAGTTCCACGGCAAAAAGGAATGGCATTTTACAAAAATTGTGAGCTTGTATTCTGAATGTAATAAAAAGTTAAAGTGGTCAGGTACTGTGAAATAAAGACAAAACATCTTCCATCTGCATTATCTGCACCTAAAATAAAACCTACAGCATGACCTAAACATCTGTCCAATCCAATAAGCTCCAATCTGTGCAATCCAATTAATTATTATAATATAATATTCTAATTTAAATAATACTAATTGTATTAAATATTGTAATATATAATTTTTTATATCAACTAATAATGTATAAATAATACATTACATATCCCTGTAGCTATATAACTTTATACAGAAGAGGGGGAAGATCAAAGGAAAGAGATTTTATGTTGTTAAATCCTTACTTTGTTACACACCTGAGCCAATATGGCTGCCTTCTGTCCGGCTGTGACCCGAATGGCCTGCTGGGTACTGGATGCAGGACTGGATGCCACGTGACCACCAGAGCTCTGTTTCCCAGAGCCCCCTGGCTGGCCAACCAAGAACGTGCCCTGAAAAAAGTATAAAGCATAACCCAAACTGACAGTAAAGGCTTCTGGGATGTGTGTATGTGTGTGTCTTTGACTGGACACTGTTTTAACATACTAAAAAGAGGTCATTCAAATAGTATGTAAGAGTTACTGAATGAGCCTAATTAACAAAGTAAGAGTACACACATTCAAACTAAAATTGTTTAGATTGAACTAAACAACTAGTATGTCAGGATCAATTCTACTAGTTAGTGTGTGTCATAAATTATTTACAGCAAAGACTATTACCTGAGGAGTCTGTTTGAGGATGTAAGAAGTGTAGGATAAATTGGAAGGCAGGCTGATAGACCCTGAGGACCCACTGGAGGAATGTGACCCTCCAGAACCAGAACTCTGAGACTGCTGGCCTACAGACAGAGATAAACCTAGTTAGATGTTTATCTGAATATAGAAAGTGACAATGACAATGTTCCCAAATTCATATGACATATGTGTCTGACCTGCACTGTGTGAGGCTCTCAGAATGGCTCCCTGTGGGATCAGTAGCAGTTTGCCTTTGCCCGATGGGTTCTTGCTGTTGGTGGTCAGGTAGAGTTTGGTACCCGGAGGCAGATTAGCCAGGTTTGCCAGGTTATTTGCTGGTAGTTGTAAGGTGGCCATAACTAAAAAAAAAAAAAAAAAGAAAGAAAAAAAAAGACGACAAATTACCACAAAAACAATAACAACAAAAGAGAAACATATTTCAGGAAAGAGTACAGTGTCAGAGAATAAAGGTTGAATTTGGATTAGGTAAATTATCAGTGAATATCAACTTGATCTGTTCCTCATTGAAAGTTTTTGTCCTTGACAGGGGTAACCATACTTGGCCACATGTCACGTCACTTTCACTTTCACTGTACATACACTGTAAAATTGCTCTTCATTTTGAAGAATTTAATCCTTTTATTTATCAGGGAAGCATTAAACTGATCAAAAGGGACAGTAAAGACATTTATATTACAAGAGGATTTATATTTAAAATAAATGCTGTTGATAAAATAAATGCTTTTGAACTTCTATTCATCACAGAAGCCTGAAAAAAATTTATCATTGTTTCCACAAAAATATTAAGTAGCACAAAAGGTTTCAACATTGATAATACAAAATATGTCACTTGAACACCAAAACAGCATATTAGAATTATTTCTGAAGGATCACATGACACTGAAAATGGGAGTAATGGCTGTTGAAGTTTCAGCTTTGCCATCACAGGCATAAATAACATATTAAAATTTATTAAAATAGAAAACACTCATTTTCAAACTTGAAAATTTGCAATACAATATTACTTTTTACTATATTTTTGTACACAACTTAATTCTGGTGTAATCTAAACTGACATTATAAGTGGACTCATAAGATGCAAAAAAATGTGTAGAATATGGAACCTATACAGAACATACAGCAATACAGCTTTAAGTCTATTTCATATACCATTAACAAGCTTTCTATATGCATCCACATATGGGTGTCTTTAAAATTAATCAAACTAAATCCTGTTTCCCCCTGTGGCGGCATGGAGATACAAGTGTCTGACTGAGTAATGGTGTTTCCTAATGGTTTAGTCAGCATTGCGGTACAGCCACACACACTTAGTTTAGCCCTGTGAAATTCCCCTCTCAGCACAACATCTGCTGATCAGCCTGACAAACACTTCTCCGGACACGCAAACAAATGCACAATCTTGTTCTTTCACCCACACACACACTACTGTTCTGAACATCTTAATTAGCATCCCTGGCAAGACAAATGCTTTTTGAACTTTGCGCACATACACACACTTCACCTTCTAAAAATGAATACATGCACACTTTTATTTCAAGATTCAGATACGCATCTATGCATATCCGCAAACACACACCTCTCCTAACCACAATCAAAAATGCTTTTTTCACATTCATTGGACCAAAATCTCATTCCACATAGCTGCATATTAAACATCAAGTTCTAATTGGTTGAGACTGTCAATTTATTTCGTTTTCAGTGAGGATAGAAAAACATGATGCTGACAACTTGTCACGTTACCCTTGGTTATGATTAGTTATCTCGACTTGTTTAACCCTTGTGTGGTGTTCGGGACTGTGGGACCCGTTTTCACTTTTTATCAAAAGAAATTATACTATTAATGATTTTTTCAAACTCAGACTCATTGGCCTTGGCTCATTTTCTGTGAAGAACATATATCAGAACAAATTTTCAATGACCACACACTGTACTAGGCTTGCCGTGATAGACGGTGCTGACGGTGATACCGGTGTTAAGCCGCAACACCGGTTACGTCACTTGCCCACCGCTGCACTGACACCAACCGTCGTTTTGATTTTTTATAGTAATAAAAATCATTTAGTTCAGTAAAAGAACAGACACTACAATTAAAAACTGAACGTGGCTGCTCAATACAGCGTGCCGAATGACAGTCGCATCACAGATCAGATTTCATTTATCCAGTGAGTCGAGTGAGTCGAGCTGACTGACAAGAAGAGTGGGGTGAGACAGACAAGATGATGGCGGATGATTTAGTTTCGAAACGAGATGCAAAAGCGCCTGTTATTTAAACTTTATGTAAGTTATTTGTTATTTTATATTAGGCATAGCCTGCCCTATAGCATGGTGTATTTTTATTTCTTTTGTTAATAAAAGTTATATGTTTTATATATAGGCTAAAGGGAGTGACGTTGTATTTTGTTGTTGCATTCAAGCAATTGACGCCGAACTGCCGCTAATTCGAAAGTGAAAGTAAAATGCGCACGGCGCTTTTAAGCTATTTAAAAGTGAAGGAAAGCGAGGAAAAGAGGGAAAATTCAAACGAACTAAAAATTAACAATTGCTTTACGCCGAATTGCCGCTATTTGAAAGTGAAAGTAAAATGTGCACGCTGCTTTTACAAGCTATTTAAAAGCGAAGGAAAGCGAGGAAAAGAGGGAACGCCCCCGCCCCTGCAGTGATACCGATATTACCGGTGTTGTCACACGTCGATTAACCGGTGGGAAAATTTCCTCACCGTCACAACC